AACCTATAACCACACAATGAATGGCTTGTTTTTCTTCTATCTCTCTCCCTCTCAATGTAACGAACTTTCCACTGAGTGTGATATAAAAGTGTATACGCACCGCGAGACTAAAGCAAGCCAGCGAGTGGCTATTGCTTGTAGCGCCCTCGCTACGCTCGGGCGCACACTACAACAGCCACGAACTGGCTTGCTTTAGTCCCTTGGTACGTAATATACTAATTATTTACCTGCTTTTACAACACTAACCTGGTATTTTTAGAGAGGGATTCTTGGCAAGTACTATTGTTTGTTAACAAAAAAAAAAAAAAAGCATGAAGATTCAGAAAACGATTGAATTATTTTCCATTTAATTCTATGATTATACTATAATTATCCCTGCTAAACTCAATAACTGTACAATTAGACTTCTACTAAAGAGTTATATCAAAAATGTTTGAGCTGCATTGTATTTAATTTTAAAGTCCCATAACTGAAATTAGGAAGCATCTGACTTTAAAGCATCCTTGACAACAACACATCATAGCTTTCAGCGCTCAAGCTTAATGGTAAGAATCCCAAGTGCCAAACACTCAAGCTGTAGAAGTTAAAAGTTTTTCGACAGCTCTCTCAGTTCTTTTTTTAGCACAACATCATGCATAATCGTATAAAATTGACAGAACCTTCAAAAAACTGTGAACTTCTATTACAGCTTAAGCGTTTGGCATCTGGAAAGCCCACAGTTGAGCTAAAGCGCTTCAAGCTTTGACCTGTAGTCAGTGATACTTTAAAGTTGGACGCTCCCTAGATTTTCGGAACTTTTTAGTTGAATACAATGCAGTTTAAATATTTTTGAGCAGGTGTACGTCAGGATTGTACTTTATACAACTCAGAATTTGAGTTACACGGGACGGATTAGTAGGGCAAGATTAAATGCACAGGTGTTGGGCGTTTAGGTTAGAAAGTATGATGGGTGCTGTTGCCTCATAGAAACGTGTGTATAGTAGTACGTGAAAATGATGTGTGTAAGAACTCGTTCGATCACGGCCGACAATCACCGGCGACGCCGTTGAGTCGCTGATACTTTTAATTAGTGTAAAGTGCAAGTTAAGTGATCGTGAGGGCTGCCAGGGAAGTCGTGGAAGTCAACTCAAAATACATTAGGTACTATGGGCACTCTAATATAACTCTGTAGGAAACTCTAAGGGTATGCAAGGGGCTGAAGGGGGATGTAGAACTCTTCACCCAAATAAATATAAAGAATTTATGTATCGCGTTCACTCCCCCTGCCCACTCTGCTCTCTCTCTAACAAATCGCGTATGCAATGAGTTAATTGTGTATAGTAAGGTATTTGTTTGAAAGGAATAACTAATATTAGCAAACAACGGTTCGTTGGCTACATCATAGTGCACTGTAAGTTAAAGCGTAGCTAGTGAAATAAAGGGTTGAATCGGTTTCTTAGTATAATCTCCTGGTGGTTTTTGTTTTTGATGGAAGGAGTTTTTAAATCACTACATAAGGCATTACTTATGAAGTAGATTCTTATTTATAAATGACCTTTAAATAATTTTCTGTGTATTTCCTATTACATACTATAATAAATTAAAATTAAATATTTTAATTGCGTTCTGAAACTGAAAAGAAAATTTAATTTTAAAAATTACTGTTACTGTTAATAAGTTTTTAAAGACTTTACCAATGCTTAAATAACATTTGTATAAAATCAAGTAATGGGTGTTTTTGATTGATCTTTTCTTGTAAAATTTTTTTTACAGTCCTTAAAAAATTCGTCGTGCTCTGGATAATGCGTAAAAAAGTNTTTTTATAAAAATGTTTTCTTGAATAACGAAGCAGTTATTACATAGGGAGCATGAAGGGCCAAGTAATATACATTTTTTTCTTTGTAAAAAGAGAGATTTGACCAACAATCGTTCCATTGAAATGAATAAATTCTTTACTATTACTCTTGCTCCTAAGAAGCCTCCATCGATATGGGTGATGGGTTTATAGGGCCCTCTTCTATAGTCAGACTTCATATATTTTATTTTTAATAGAGTGAAGATTAAGATTGCTGGTAACAATAAGACGGCTTACTTTAGTTATTCTGTTAAAAACCATACAGAGATAGAATTATTCTTGTGACAATTACAGTCAGAAGGAAATTATAAGTAACTACTTCACTATAAGAAAGCGACCAAGTTTCTGATAGTACTTTACCTACGATTGAGTTATGCATAGAATCAAAAAGCACGTGAGGATGTACAAAGTTAACACAAATGAAAGTAATAGTAATCATTTGGATTTTCAGCATTGGTAAGGACAGTAATAAAAATAATATCAAACAACAGTGTAATGGAAATAATAATAAAAGCACTTATATAAAAATAAGTAGTAGTCTGTCAGCCCTTATCCCTAAAACAATGCTCTTTAAGTACATAGAAGAAGATTTCTAGAGGAAAAAAATGGGACATGCAAAAGAGTAGTTGGTAGTTCGTTGTTCTAGGCTAACAAAAGTTCACCAGATATTGCATATATCGAAAAATATTAAATATGTGAGCATCAGATTTTTTAATAGAAGATAATTGTAAAATGTTAAAAAAAGTGCTTCGTAATCTGCAATATACGAGAAATGTAGACCTAGTATAAAGAGCTCTTACATATGCAATAGCAGCTTATTCTGATGCTAGTCTAGCTAATTGTTAAGGCTCAATGATAACAGGTAGATAATTCATAAAATTGCATGGTAATACTTACCTGGAAGACGAGAAAGAAAAAAAACGTGGAAACATCTAGCTGTAAAGCAGAATACGCAGCAGTTTGCAATGCCAGTCAGGAACTGGTCTGACTTAAGCATTTTATTGGTCTAATGCTGCTATCTACAGTTTCTCCTGCAGTTGTATGGTGTTATAACAAAGCTGCTACAGCACGTAGAAAGACAGATGGTAGTGAAAGATTAAGACATATGACTGAGATTAAAGCTTATTATGCTAAATAATGTGTAACCAGACAAATTGAAGTCATTGAGTAAATTCCACAAAAAGATTAGTTAAGTTATAATTCCATTTAGCTGTTATGTTTTAAAGTGCATAAGAGACCCACACAAATTATTAATTAATGTTTTTTTCTTCATTACTCTAAAATACTTTACGTTGAGTTTGTAAATATCAACAAACTTTTTATTCCACCACTATGTACTGCTTACACTTTAAAAGGAAAAGTAAAAAAATGAAGTATTTAACTGATATTTAAAAATTAGGGGGTTGGTGTATGGAGCATGCAGGGGCTAAGTCTTACTACTGTATGTATATATGTATTTACATTTAAAAATAAATTTGTTATACTTATTTTCTTATTTTGTTACAACTGCCTCAATACGGCACAGATCGTGAGGACGTGTGAGATTGGTATTGGGAGCTTGGTGTAAGTTTCTGTATTTGTACAGTTTAAGATGGTGCTGTGATCCTGCGCAAATTTCGTGTAGCTGACTTTTCGTGCTAATCATTGCTTATCTGTCTAGAAGCCCCAGCACACTGCATGCTAAGGCTTTTCTATTAATTTTATATTAGTTTATAGAACGTAGATTTAATTCTCTCACGATTGTCAAGATATTGAAAGATATAATTAATAGGGATAGTAACAGTTTTTGAATGAACTCATAAATTTTTATTTATTTATTTGTTCTCATAGACTCATACAGCTGACAATAACTTTCGAAAAATATTTTTCCGCACTCGGGTGGTTTTGGGAGGCTGGTACTTCCTCGGGCGAAAAAGCAGTTTTCCAGAACTCGTTCGAAAAGTCTCCTTTACGAACCTCGTTACGTCCCTCGCCTTCGGCTCGGGCCGCAAACCTCTCGGTTCGCAAACAGAGACTT